ATTAGAACTAAAAAAATAAATAAGAAACTAAAAAAAATTGATTAACCTACCTTGTCTATATATAATATGTATGTGAAAAATATTTTATATTATTATGAATCAATTTGAATTGTGACATGCATTATGTTATACTTTCGCTTTAGAACACGTCTAGCTTGTGATAAAATTGCTGCAGGAATCAAAGGCTCCGCCGAAACATCTGGATCATATGGTTGAAGCCGCAAATGACATGTTAGAGTTGTCTACAAAAAGTAAATAAATGGAACTTAAGTAATGAGTAAAAAGATACTTTTCCACAAATATAAACATATATAAAATTCTTACTCGTCCAACTGTCAAATCCCAAACTGAACGTTTTAATTAAAAGGAAGTTATGGTCAGTAAGCTGATAACTGTAAAAAATATTCCAAGAACAAAAAAAAAATCATAAGAGATAATTACTATGCAAATCATGCACGCTTTTTACTCCTTCAATTTCTGCTAAATCTTTTCTCACAGAGTGAGCGTCAATATGAGAGGGTGTTGCTATAATTGAAAAAAAGAGAATAATATCAAATTAGTTCCTAAGGATTTTAATAAAAAGCTTTTCCTAACAAACAAAAAATCCGAATTTCATTACAAACCTTCCATCAAAACTCTAATACCACTTCTCAATATGCCAAATGTAGTGGCCATTACGAGAGCAGAGAAAATAAATGTACATAACGGATCAACCCATTGCTTAGTTTCATCCACCATAATAATTATAGATGATATCAAAACTCCCACGGAAGATAAGAAATCTCCCAATACATGAAGCAAAGCTGCACGAACATTAACACTACTATCACTGTGATGATCACTTCCATGACTGTGACCATGACTGTGACCGTGACTATGTCCATGTCCATGCTCATGTCCTAAAACAAACATCAATCTATAAATATAACATGATGTTTAATATTGATAAATATAGAGATATAGATAAGATTTTTAAAATAAATTATAAATATTAATTACACAATGTTTACTAAGACTCCTATGATGGCTACAACACACATCGTTTTTCCATCAACTTTAATTTTAGGATGTTGTATACGATCATAGGCTTCATAACATAGATAGCCGGTAAGTGCCCATATCAAGAAGATAGATAAAAGCGCACCTAAAATTTCCGCACGATGATAACCGTACGAAAGCGCTAAAGACCATAAGATCGAAAAAGGAATGTTAGTAATAATAATAATAATAATAATAAAATACGCCAAATTCTAAATAATTATCATACATTTAGTAGCGGGCCTTCGCGCAAGATATATAGATAAAAGTGAAATTGCAAAGCTAACAACATCTGATTGAAAAAAATTAAGAAATTTGTTAGTCGTGTCGAAAAAAAAAAATTAAACCAATTAATTAAATGATCCCTTACCGCTTAACAAATGAAAAGAATCACTCAATAAAGCCAAACTTCCAGCAATAAGACCACCGGCGAGTTCGGTTACAAAAAAGAGGAGAGATATAACTATTGCAATCCATAATTTTGAAGCATATCTTTTAGAAGATTTATCCAGACGACATCCGTCATCCTCGTCGTCACTTAAACCACACTTGTCTTCCTCATCTTCACGAAGGTCGGGACCTTCAAACGAAGTATATAAAAGTGGAGTCGCTGTGTGCTGTTGAAGCGAGGTAATGCTCGGGTTATCATGATATGATTCAAAGGAAACGCCTCTCGAATTCATTTGTTGAGTTTCTACCGAAAGCGAAAGCTCTTGTCCTGGTGTATCAGGTGAAGAAGGATAAGCAGGTGATTCTGGTGGAATAGGGCGGACAGAAGTGTCGTCCGCAAGTTCAATTATGTTAGCGTTGGTCACTACCGTTTTCATATTAGATATATTTATTCTTTGGCTTTACTATTTTTATATAGCATTAAATATTTACAAATGGTTTGTAGAAATTTAATACTAACGTACGAACTTCCGTGTTAAAACCGATTATAACTCTCGTTTGAAAAACAAAAAAAAAAAAAAAAAAAAAAATTGATTTTTTGGCGGGATTATAATTTAATACTACGTAACTACGTAACACCAATGGCACTTCAAGTATGTGGTGTAATTAAATCACAAGCACGAAAGGAGGTGAAAATTTATTATCTTGATTGTAATCAACCTCCCTCAAACTCTTTTTTCAATTTTTTTAAACCAACCTAACTTGTTTCTATGTTTTGCTCATGAACATTAATTAATAAGGATAAAACTGGAACTTAAAAAGTTTCTATGAAAGAATATGTAACACTTTTTTATCTGATGAATACCTTTCATTTAAGACTATGTTCGTGACGTAGTATATGTTATCTGATAAGGTTTAGACCAGTCAGTGAAGATTCTTGCTCCAAAGAAATGTTTAGTTAGTCAAATAATTAGCTCAGGATTTAAATCAACCAAAATTGTGATGTACGATGATGATGTGAACCTCTCCTTTTTCAAATACCTTTCTTTGGAAAATTTACTGCGGTTTCTCGAGTTAGACTCCGATTTGATGTATTACAGATCGAAATTGTTAATGTTAATTGAACACATGGTAAATATTTTTGATAAATATTTATGTTGTGTCATTTGAGCACGTGATATTGGAATTTTTTTTGCTTTTTCTTGAACTCATCTTGTTTGTCTTGATAATCTTATAATCTTTGCTAAATTTGAAGTAATATAAAGATGATTATTTATTTTTAATAATGTTATCATTATTCTCTTTCACAATCCTCAATAAAATGTGATGGAAACCCTTTAGCCCACTCAATTACTTCTTTGCAACAAGATTCGTTTCCAATCAATTCAACATCTTTAAGTTTAGGGAGATCAGCTGTAATCAAAGGTTCTGCCATTTTATAATACAAACCCACACAAGATATTAATCTGAGCACTTCCAAATTTTTACACTTTGCAATCTCCTCAACAATCTTACTTCCTTTAAGACAGCAATGTCTAATCTCAACCACTCGAAGCGAATAGATATGATTTGATATTAAAGGTACACAATCTGTTTCTTCTCTGCTTCGATAAAAATATCTGAACTTGAACTTCTTGAGGTCTTTAAGCGCGTCAATAAATTTGTTGATATTTGATAGCGATTTTTGGTTATGGTGCTTCGTTTGAATCCTAAGACTTTTCTAAGAAAAGTATATATATATATATTTAAAATACATTGATAAAACAAGATTTATTTGTAATATAAAATAAACATACCACATTTTTACAATGAGTTGGAAGCCAATCAATAATGTCATAAATATCCTGATAATCGAATACAAGTTCAAGTTTCCTGATGTTTTCAAAGAATTTACGGTCAGCGACAATTTTATAATCAGTCGAGTTAAGAATGAAACCATATCCGTAATGATCCGCGACAACTAACGAATTGATTCTGGCATTTTCGATAATATAATTTACAACGAAAGATTGAAGTTTTTTCGAGATCTTTGGAGCATCAACAGATTTCAAGTATGTTGACCTTTCAGAAATTTGTATCGTTTCAAGTTCTTTTACATTTGATAGGTTTCGTGCGGTTTCGTTCATAGAATTCACGAGCTCCCAATAATTAAGATGCTTCAAATATGAAGGATAATTAAACGTGGGAGTTTTGACAACTTCCTTTGGTATTTTCGCGTCTGAAAATAATTCTTTTTTCTTATTTTCATCGAAACATGCCATGTACATGAGAATAACTTCGGTAATAGTTTCTCTGTTTTCAGTGAGAAAACGAAAGGGATTTGACCAAAGAACGGGAATGGCGTTTTGACACCAATTCCTATTGACTAGTACGCAGTGGTATAAACTCTTCAAGTCCTCTGGTTCGAATGTCTTTACAAGACATTCAAAAATCATAGGTAAAATATCTGGATGCAGATAAGGGACCACCATTTTAAATTCAGTTGGGAAAAGAAGACGCGTATGAAGTACATGTCAACCCCTATATAGAGTCACCGTTTAGTCACATCATATAATCACACCAAAACTTTTATGTGACTATATCGATATAGGGGTTAACAATACAAATACATGTAATACATAATTTTTGGGTCAACATATAATGATTTCTAAAAATCGTTTAAGATTGTTAATGAAATAAACATTGTGTCATTTTAACCAAATTGGACCGAGTTTAGCCTTACAAGTCCGGTACTTTATATATAGACGACATCATTTTTTTAAAATTAATTTCAAACTTGATTTTTAAACACTTCAATATGTCTCTCCCTGAATATATGCCTCCTGAAGAAAATGATGTAAGGTCTCCTTGTCCCTTCATCAATTCTTTGGCTAATCATGGTTTTCTGTAAGTTTATCGAATAATTTTTTCTTTTTTCTTCTCATTTTATTATATTTTTATTTTAATTTTTTTTGTAAATTCAAAAAAAAAAAATGATAGTCCAAGAAGCGGAAAAGATTATACAATGTCCAAATTATTTAATGCTCTTCGTAAGGGTTTTAATGCTGGAACAGCTTTGGCCACATGGCTAACATTCTGGTCTTTTCTTTTGCACGGGAAATTATTTCGAACAATGTACGTAACTTTCTTTGTCACGTGATTCACGGAATCGTTTGCTACAAATTATTTTATTTTATTTTTTTTTTTAAAAAAAGGTCACTTAGTGATCTTCAAAATCATAATGTTCTTGAACACGACGCGTCTTTATCTCGTCAAGATGTTGCGATTGGTGATAACGTAAAAGTTGATAAGGATTTAGTAGATTTAATGTTATCACAGAAAATTGATGAAAAAATTAACATCGAATCCCTCGCAAAATTATATAATATACGTCAAGCAGATTCAAAAGAACGTAATAAAGATTTTAAATTTGGTTGGAAACACAAGATCTTGGTCCTCGGAGAATATTCTTTATTTTTAAATGTTATTGGAGGAGCGACAAATAAAGAAGTTGATGCTAAAATTGTAGAAACTTTCTTTAAAGAAGAAAGAATTCCTGATGATTGGAAAAAGCCCGAGACACCTGCTGAACTCATTAAAGTTCTGCGTTATCAAACGGTTGTTGAGAAAAAGATTGAAGAAGTAAAGCAAAAATAATTTTTTTTTTTAATTCAGTAATATTATATTTACCTATCATTGATGATTTTATCCTAAAAAAAAAAAATTTATGTATAACTAACTTTATTTAAATAAATTAATACGAGAAAAGTTTTTCTTTGTAATTGGCAAAATTGTTTACCTAAATAAAGATCGACTCTCGCGAATTCTAAACAAGCTCCCTTATTTCATTCAACTTTATTCTTTCCTTCTTTTCCAAAGAATTCTTTTAAACATCCAATGACCATTTCATGATCTTCTGTATGCGTTAATCCGCTAACGGTAATCGATCCCACAACTCCAACACCTTTGACAATCAATGGAAAAGCACCTCCTTGTGCCACGTGTTCCTTCTCTTCAACCAAATGTATATCCCCAATTTTTTTGCTTTGTTGACTCAAAAATTCTCCTACATAAAGTGATGAATGACGGAATTGATTAACGACGTTACTCTTTTTCTTTGCCAAATCTACATCTGCTGGTGATGTTCCAGGCATGGAATAATGAAACAAAAGATGTCCATTTAGTGAAATGGAAATTACAATGGGAAATCCTTTTTGTTGAGCAGTTTTAACAATTAAAAGACCCAATTCTAATGCTACTGTTGAATCAAAAGTTAGAAATTGGAAGTCTTGTTCTTGTTGTAAAAGTTGTGCCACTGTTTGAAGATCTTGTGTTGCCATGATAATTTTAAGAGAAAGCAAGTTAAACGGTTCGAAAAAAGAACTCTGTGTTTGACGTTTTAGTAAAACTAAGCCACTAAATTAAACGTTCGTCACACGACATATAAAATGAAAAGTTGATGATGTTGTTCTAATTTCATTACGAACAATATGAACCGTTTCATTTTTCGTTCTGTATACTTTCGAACTCTTCTTAAACCTTCCAAATTATATCCTTGTCATAATTCTCAATTCGTTTTACCTAATCTGTCAATGAATTATTTCTTTTCTTCTAAGTCTGATTCTTCAAATATTTGTTACAATATAGTAAGTTAATAAAGTACATAATACCATTTCCTTAAACTGATAATTTAGAAACCAATTTCTTTATTTTATAATTCTAGGAAGGATTTATCAATTGCTCATACTTTAATGCTGCAGTAGACTTGGGCAAGAATCTGAAAAGTACTCTTCTTGATAAAGGTACACCCATTGAAGTTAACGTTGAAGCACATAAAAAAGAAAACGCGAGTATACTTGATAAGATTTTGTATTGATAAAATTTTCCAAATTATTAACATTCCGTATTTATTACAATATTTGCGAATTCGAAATTCGAAATAGTGGGGTGACAGAATAAAAATCCTTCATTCGGTAAGCTATTTTACAAAATTTCATTTTTTTTTTTTTTAAAAAAAAAAAAAGACAGTTAGATCTTACCTTTTCACTTTAATTTTTCAAGATGATTCCAAACTCAAAAGATCATACAACATCCCCTTTGGTTTATGAAGGATGTAATCCAGGTAAGTATAAATTCATTGGAGGATATTCCGATTTTGCAAAATTAGTAAGAGACAGACACAAATCAAATTTACAAAAGGATTCTAAAGAAGGAGGTAGAGAATGTGAAGGTGATGTTTGTAAGATATGATGACTATATATATATTAATTTAATTTAAACAAGTACTAATGTAGTATAGAAATTAAAAAAAACTTAGATATAAATCAATATAAAGATCTCTAATAAAAATTAATTATTTAAATATATATATAGTTTTATAAATTTTTTTTTTTTCTATTTAATATTATATATTCATAAAAAAATAAAAATAAAGCTTAAAATAATAAATTTATTATTAATTACTTAATTATATTTAGATTATAATATTATTTTATTATAGTATTTTTATATCACAATTTATCTTATATAAATTAACCAAATTGAATAATAAAATATTTTTTATTTTTTATTTATTATTTATTATATTTATTAAAATTATAACATCCTTAAATTTGTTTTAAAGTAAACATATATAAGATAAAGAAAATTTTTAGCTAAATTGTAATTTTTTTTGTTCTTTTAAAATAAAGTGATAAAATTTCAAATATATATTTATATTGCTTATAAAAATTAATTTTAAATATATTATCAAATCAAAATAATTTCATTTTATTTTAATAAAGAAAATTAAAGATTATAGTTTACCTTAAAGTTGCCATTCTGCATTCTAACTTCATTATGGTAAATTAGTAAAGAATTTGATTGGTTACATCACTATAAATAAAAAAAATTAATATATTTAATTGGTCAAGCATCACGTGATTTATTATATCAAAATTTGCTATATCAAGAATAAACTGTGTATTTTTAAAAAAAAAATTAAAATTAAATAATTGTTTATTAAAATCTTTTTAAACTTAATTATATAATAATTTTAATATAAAAAGTAAAAGATACTACAATTACATCTTGATATAATAAAGTTATCAATCTAGCTGATCAGTTCTTTATTATAAAAATCTTTGTTAACGCTATAACGAATTATTCAATATATATAACAAATAATTCATTATAGTAGATGATTACTGATTTCATTACACAAATATAATTTTACTATAATATAATTTTTCCAGAAATATTTTTACATTATTTTGTATATGCAATCTGTTAATCATTATATGATAGTTTTATTAATTACTTAAATTTTTTTTTAAAAAAAAATTTAATTTATTATTTTTTAAAATAAAATAAAAATAAAATAAAATAAAATTAAAAATAAAATAAAAATAAAAGAAAAGAAAAAATAAAAATGAAACAAAAAGAAAACTAAATGAGATGAAAAATGAAATTAAGAAAACTAAATAATACGAAAAAATGAAATTAAGAAACTGAAATGAAATTATAAAACAAAATTAAGTAAACGAGACAAGATGAAAAAATAAAATTAAATAAACAAAAATAAACTATAAAATAAAATTAAGAAAATAAAACAAATTAAAAAAATAAAATTAAAAAAAATGAAATGAAACAGAAAAATAAAACAAAATGAAAAAATGAAATTAGGAAAATAAAATGAAAAGAAAATAAAATTATATATACAATATGAAAAGAAAAAATAAAATTAAAGAATAATACAAAAAAAATGAAATTAAATGAACAATACGAAAAAAATGAAATTTTTATTGTCTTGTAAGCCTAGCAGGCACATAATGATTTCACTATCTATTTTAGTTTTATTTCGCAAATACGTTACAGTTTTGCCTTATATTTTGTATTTGCTTTATAGTTAATAATCTGATCCTATATCTAAAAGATCATCTGGATTCAATCTGGATAGCTTTAGCTAAATCTGAATAATAATCCTTATTTGAAAATTTTATGGATCATCTGAATGTTAACAATTCTATCCTTAATTTAGAATCTATTCAGATCTATTCTTCTAGTTTTAATAGTTTATTTGAATTTTTATTTATTCACATTTTGCAATTTAAAAAAAAATTTCTGTAATAAAAAAATAAAAAAAATTTAATAATTTTTATACAACATAATTTTATTTGTATTTATTGTATTATTTTATAATCCTTTTAATTAATTCACATTGTCTTTTCAATTTCATCCCATTCTTTTACAAAATCTTGCATTGAATTAATATTTCTCTTTAAAAAAAGCATTTTACCCACTAAATCTGTATCCAAATATGTTCTTTTTACTGTAATTAGATTGTTAACATATGAAAATAATCTCTCACTTAAAACAGAAGTTGCAGGTATCTGCGAGCAATTTGAAATAATTTTAGAAAAATTTGTATACGTGCCTGCCACTAATCTAATGGATTTTCTGTTTCAAATGCAGCTAATATATTTAGATAATTGTTTATTTCATTACTATCACTATTGCTTGAATTTAATTGACCTATTCTTTTAATTTTTATTTGATGATATTAATGATACTCTTTATGTAAATATGATTAAGATTCTATATCTAGAGAAAGTATAGTTGAATCATTTAAAAGTTCTGTTACTAGTGGTGATTCATTTGAATAATTAGTTGCAAATTCATTACAGAGTTTTTGAATAATTTTTTTTTTATCATCTTCTAACTTCACAAAATCTAATTTTTTATAGCGAAGATCTAATAAAGATGTAATTAATCTTATATCATTTAGTTTATTCCAATAAAAAATTAATGAACTGTAAATAATTTCTTTTATATTTTCCAAAACCTTTCTCACAGTATCTAGTGGTTTCTTAATAAATATTCATTTATTTGTAATATTACTTATAATTTCTTCATTTTTAACTTCAATAGATGCTTCTACAATATCTTCAGATTTGAATATAGTATTTTCATTATGATAATCAATATTATCTGATAGTAAGTTGCAAGCTAAATTAAAAATAAGCTCCTTAATAATTGGTATCATATTGCTTAATATAATGTAAGTTTCTCCTGAAAAATCTTTTATTGCCCTTTTAAATAGTGTTAAAAGATCAACTAACTGATCTAATAATTTCTATTCATCTTTAGATAATATGATTTTTCTTAATTTGCCACCATTATAGATGCTTACCAAAACCTTCTCAAAATAATTTCATCATACTCTTTTTTATGTTTTTAATATAGTTTCAACAGTTTTAGCTTTTGTTATATTGAAAGAGTTTCATTGTATCTCTTATTATAATTTTAATATAGTTTTGTCTAGGTTTTGACTGTTATTAAGGGATTTTATCTCTCATTATTAACCACTATCCTTTTTATCCTCTCTATTAGTACTTGTATATAAATTAGCTTGAAGTTAAATGATTGCATCTTTGAGATAAAAAAGTCAATCCTATATATAATAAGAAAATTTTAGCGAGTTGATACATCTTGTATACAGTATAATATATCTTTATAACCTAATTTGTGTTATATTTCTTTCAATCTTTCTATCTGTTTTTGAGTTGAAAAAAAATGGATTATTCTTTTTATATGTGATACAAGAATTTTAGCAGCTACTAATCCTTTATCAATTGCCAACTGAAGTATGTATACTATATAAGAAAATCATTGAATAC